CTGTGAGTTACATAAGAGCAAAGACTGTATCATGGTTCCCATTTGTGGGCCTGTAGCACATTGCCTGGCACCTGGCAGCTTCTAAAAATATTTGTTGAATCAAAGTACATGTAAACATCAAGCTGTAGTTTTCCCATCTTTTGAATCAGACCCCTAGGATAAATTCCCAGAAGGATTATTATTGATGACTTAGGATAATGAATGTAACACTCAGTCTTTTGTAAGTGAATTTGATCCACACAAAATTCTAGGTCGGGTAGAATAGATAGGATGATCCTTGCCAAGGAGTCATTTTCATAAGGTCCCAAAGCCAGTAAGTGGCAGAGTATAAAGAACAGGTCCTTGGGTCTTGCCATCTGCTTGCCTTATTTGATAGGGATACTAAATTTAGATGGTACCCTTTCATGTTGGGTGGCTGTCTCTTTAAATGTTGCTGTTCTGAGATACATACAACAAGCTGGTAGAATGTACATCTCTGTAAAAACAAAACAAAACAAAGTAACCCTTACATCTATGAGCCTTTGTTTCAACATCTATCAAATGGGTGTAAGGATCTTTTGGCTCTGTGGGCAGATGAGGAGGAAGCAGGTTTCCATCCCTCCCCTGATCCATCGTTCCCATGCTCTGTGCACAGTTATTTACGAGACTGAGGAGGGTGAATGAAAGCCAGCCCTTGCACACGGCAGCGACAGCTGACAATACCTTGTCTGTTTAATGCTCCTCACTGGCTGACCTGGAAGCCCTTTAATGGTTGTAGCATATGAAAGAGAAGTCTGCTAAATGTAGCCCCCAAATGTACTGGCGAGTTCATGGTCTAACCCCTCCAGGAAGAAGAGGGCATTGACTAACACCGGAAATGCCTTGCTTATGATGAATTTTCAAGTGCCAAAGACCCCCATCCCCAACTCTGAGACCCGAGAATGACACCATCTGGATGAGGTCTTTCCAAGCCCTGAGGAGAAGCTACCCGGGCGCGACACACACGGTCTGCAGCCGTGGCTTCCAGGCCCAGCTCTGCCACTGAAGGGCTGTGTGGCCTTGGCCACGTTCTCCTACCTGTACAGTGGAGCAGGGGGATAACGTGCTCTCCACTGCCCCGCGGAAGTTCTAAAGTTCTGTGTTCAATGAAAGGTGGGGATGGCTGTCAGAATTAACAATACAAAGCAGGTGCCTTTTTAGTTCCTGTTGGCTCGAGTTTCTGCCTCCTGGACAGAAACTGGGAAATAGGTGTGTTTCTGACTCCCTGGCTGGCTCATAGAATCACAGAGTTGTGGGTGGCTGGCAGGAAACCTCAGTGATTATCAAGACCCATGTCCTAGCTCCCTCACTCTTTCAACAAAAATTCACTATGCACTGATCGTGAATAGAAGAGTATCACTGGGGTGGCAGCTATTGTGTTCCCTGATTAATCCATGGCACCTAGCGCAGTGGCTGGTACAGAGTAGGTGCTCATTAAATAGCGGTTGAATGATGGGTAGTTTCTTGCAGGTGAGTCATCTAGGGGAGCCTCTTAAATGTGGATTCCTGGGTCCACGGCAGACCTACTGAATTGTAATCTCTGGTAACAGAGCCCAGGTGACTGTCATGCCCTCCAGAATTTGAGACATGGTTATAGAATCTGAATAAAGCAGCATTCTTCTATTATCAGAAGAGAGAAAATGCTGATGTTTTTAATCTTGAGCATTTGTCACTAGTGGCTATAATATTCAAGTGAAAAAGGTTCATTTTGCTGGAGCCGTTTCCGTGGAGCCTGGAGGAGTCCGGGCTTTGCCTGGTGTATGTGCAAGGCAAACTTTCACTAATCTCGGGAGAGGCAGGGCCAATAAAAAGGCAGAGCAGATAGGAGTGAGCCACATGAAGTCCAAGTTTGGCATTATTATTGCCCTTCACTTGGAAGTCATAAAATAAGAAATGTGCCACCGTTCCAGCTTCCTGGGAGTGGTTAGCTGGTGTGGGGTTTTTCTCCATTCCTTTCAAGGGTCTGTGGCTTGGACCAGATACAGGCTGGGGTTCAAATCTCAGCTGTGTCCCTAACTGTGTGGTCTTGGGCTGATCACTTCAATCCTGTAAGCTTTAGTTTCCTCCACTAGAAACTGGACATTAGAATGCGGACTCCTCAGGGCTGTTGGAAACAGTCTGAGGTGATACACACTCAGGTATCTGGCACCTGGGCAGTGTGGAAAAGCTCAGTTTGAGCTGATACCTATAAACTGCATCGTATTTGGGCTGGCGGGTTCAGGAGAGGTTAATTTAGCTCAGCTCTTTTGTTTTAAAGGGACACAGCCTTTAAAACAGCTTCTTTTGTTTAAAGGAAACAGCCTGACAGAGGGCAAGTGAACTGCACAAGATCACACCTAGCACCTTGGGTTTCTGGAGGGCTTCTATTTTCTTTTTCTTTTTAAAGATTTTTAAAATTTTTTTTATTTATTTGACAGAGACACAGTTAGAGAGGGAACACAAGCAGAGGGAGTGGGAGAGGGAGAAGCAGGCTCCCCACTGAGCAGGGAGCCTGACGGGAGGGCTTGATCCCAGAACCCTGGATCATGACCTGAGCCAAAGACAGACGCTTAATTGAGCCACGCAGGCGCCCCTCAACACCAGAGTTTTAAAGGCAAAAGCTGCTCTGGGCAAGCGCTGTTGAGGCCTTCCCTGGGAGGCCCTGTCTGGTACTGCGGCTCTGCAAGGCCAAGGCCTGAGACGGCTGGCACTGGGGACTCTCCAGGTCTGGCCTCTCAGCTACAAGGGGCTCAACAGCAGTCCCTGGCCATGCTGGATCTGGCAGGGACGTCTCGGGAAACTGTCCCGCAGGGCTCTGACAGGGCTCCATGGGCAGCAGCAGCAAAGCCCTTCATGCTAATGGTGATGACCTTGGTGATGGTGATGATGCTGAGCGGGGAGGAACCCTCCTATCGGCCAGGTGCAGGGCCCAGCCATTGGTTTTATGTGCACAGATTTTTGCCACCCTCACAAGAACCCTACGGGGAGGAAACTGTGGCCCAGAGAGGTTAAGTAAATGACCAAGGGCACATTGCTAGTGAGCACCAAGATTCAAATCCAGATCTCCTGGAGTCCAAGGCAGCCAGCAGCCCCTGGAAGAAAGGAAAGTAACACTGGCCTTCAAGGGACATGCATGTTATTCTCATTTTTACAGATGAGGAAACAGAGGACCAGAGTTTAGCTATTTTCCCCAGGAGGTCAGGCACCGTGCCAAGCACTTTGCATATATTATCTCTTCAATCATCCTGACATCCCTATGAAGTAAGTAATTTTATGATCCCCACCGATGCAGATGAGGAAATCGAGGCCTGAAACTAGATGACTTGCAGGGGTTCAAAACTGGGCAGTCTGACCAGGGGGCCCATGCTCCTGACTTCTTGAGTTGTCCAATGAGGAGACAAGATGTAGCAGGGCTGGACCAGGCAGGACCCAGGACTCCTGACTCCCAGGCTAGTGCTCCAAGGCTAGATGTAGGCTGTCTGTTGGGATTCATTGTTCCTTAAAAGCGCGCTGGCCTAAAGCCCAAAGAGTGAAATCACGCCCTGCGGTTCTGGGAACCTCAGACTGGAGAAGACGGAAGCTCTTGCTCAGGAGTTCAAGTCTGAGCAGGTGGACAGAGGGCTCTCTCCCTGCTTCCTCATCTGGGGAGGGAGCCCACGCAGGGTGGGCCGGGTGGGGCAGCTCTCCCCAGTCCGGGGGAGGGGGGGTGGAGAGCAAGAGGCAGGCGTGCCCAATGAAATAGGCCTAAATCTTCCCGCCTTTACGCCTTTATTCAGGCAGTGCCCTCATCTACTGCCTGGCAAACAAACAGCAGGCCATGATGGTGAGAGTTCAAGGTTGCATTCAGGAGGCCTGAGTTCTGGTTTTGGCACCATTGACTCTGGGCAGTTTTCTTATCTGTTCAATGTGTGGTGGTGGTGGTGGGTGGGGTGGAATCCAAATCCTCCGGGGTTTATAGTTAGCACATTATTTATTAGGCATCTACTATGTGCCAGGCACTGGAGACACAGTAAATGCAAAAGCAGATTCAGTCCCTGCTTTCATGGGTCTTAGAGTCTAGTAAGGAGAGACATGAAGAACAAATCTTCACTGGAACAAATGTAAAATGGCAGCTGTGACCAGTGTTCTAAGGAAAAGGCTTGTAGAGCTAAGAGAACCCATGACAGTGGGGGGGGGGGGGGGGGAGGAATGGGTTGACAGTCAGAGTGGCAGTGGGGAAGGATGCGCTGAAGATGCGGTTACTAGGTGAATGGCCACAGGGCAGGAGACAGCACTCTGTGTGTGGAAGCCCCTTGTGAGATGGTTCATCGAAGGAACTGGGAGGCCAGGGGGCCTGGGGAGGCCTGCACGGGCCTGGCCACCTCAAGGCATTGTGGGCCATGGTAAGGGAAGTCATTGAAGTTTATGGGGGGGGGGGGGCCGGGTAGGGGAGTGAAGGAAAACTTGAGGGAGACGGTCAAACTTAACAGAATATGGGTCAATGCGTCCTTCACGGAAAAGAGAAAAATGCCAGCCCCTCTTTGAGCCTTCCCTGATTTCTCCACCTTTTACCTATGGTATTTCTCCCTCTCTGGCCTTGCAGCTCAGGTAGAGAAACTCGAACCTCTGGGGCAGTCAGACCTGAGCTTTGTCTTCCTGCTATTGAAATGCACTGTGTGTTCCTGCTATTGACATGCACCGTGATTTCACACGAAGTCCTCTGCCTTCTCGGGCCTCAGTTTCCCCAGCTGTGCAGAAGCAGGTTGTCTCAAAGGACCCGCCCAGCGCTAACGCAACGTGATTCGCTCTGGCAGGAGCAGGGGGCTGCCCGCATTGCTGCGCAGGCATCGGGCCGCTGGCTGGGGCATCTTCACCCGGCTGCGGGCGCTCTCCTCCCGGCCGGGGGCTGCGGGCGAGGACCGCGGAGCCAGACGTGGCGCAGGAAAGTGGGGGCGCGACCCCCGGCTGGCGCGGGCACCGCGCGGCCCCGCCCCCGCAGCCGGCGGCCCTGCGGCAGCCCGGGCCTGAGCTCCGCCCTCCGCCTCCCGCCGGCCTCGCTCCCTCCTCCCGCCTCCCTCGCTCGCTCGCTCGCTCCCTCCCCCCGGCCGGCTCGGCGCTGACTCCGCCGCACGCTGCAGCCGCGGCTGGAAGATGGCGGGGAACGACTGCGGCGCGCTGCTGGACGAAGAGCTCTCCTCCTTCTTCCTCAACTATCTCGCCGACACGCAGGTACGGCCAGCAAGGGCCGCGGGCCGGGGGCCAGGGGTGCTGAGCTGCGGGGGCTGCGGCCGCAGCCGCGGAGGCCGGGGGGCAGCGGTGGGCGCATTGGGGGGAACTGGGGTTCCCGGCTGCAGAGCCCCCCTTCCATGCGCCCTGCGATGCTCTCTGTTACGGAGGCAGGGAGCCAAAGGCTCCCCCCCGCGCAAGCCGGAGCGTGGGGGGCGCTACGGCCGCCGGGGAGGGTCTAGCCTCGGTCGCTTGGAGTCCGCTCCCCCCGCCGGCAGAGGTGGGGGGTACCGCGTTTCCTTGGGGAGGTGGAGCCGCGCCAAGGTGTGGGGGACCCTCAGGCTGGTCCTGGGTGCGGGAGGCGCGCCCTCAGACTCCCGGCACTTGCTGCCGTACTTTCACGTGGACTTGTGGCCCCGGCTCAGGCGCCTGCCCCCGTCCCCGGAGTGCCCTGGTCCTCCGGTCTCCCGTGCCCCGCGTGCTGCTGCTGGCCCCCCGCGGCTCCCCGTCTGCGCCCGCAGCGCGGAGTTTCCTGCCAGTTGCCGGCTAAGGGCTTAGGGGGCTGCGGGGCACGTGGACATGCCGGCGGAGATAGCACCTTCCTGGTTTCGCTACCGGCGGAGCCCCCCGGGAGAAAACCACGGCAGGATGGGGGTGGAAAGACTGTCTGGGGACGCCTGGGTCCCCCTGCAGCGCGCGGCCCCGGTGCGCGCTCGGCGATGCTGGGGGAAGGGAACGCGAGGCGGCGTCCGGGCTCTGGCTGAGCCTGGGAGCCCCACCGGCGACACGCGCGTGACAGGAGAGGGTGCTCTGGTGTGCCGGGGCGGCGGGGGGTGGTGGTGCGAGGGAGCTGGTGACTTGGAGACGGGGTGGAGGGGGGTGCTGTTGGGACAAGCCGCCACCGAAAATGCCTGCACTAGGCGTGCGCGCCCCCCACCCCTTCCTTGGTTTTCCCCACCCGATGCCTGTTGCAAGCGTAAAGTTTGGCCCCATAGTTAGGGCTTTTTCTCTGGGCGCCTGGCTGCGGGTAGCGGGGAGGCTGGGGATGCGGCGGAGGCGAGGAGACCCCGGATGCGGGCGCACTGCTGGGCGCGGAGAGGGGCCGCCGGGCGGAACCGGGCGCGGCTCGCGAGGGCTGGTTTGGTACCTGGAGTCCGAGCGCCGGTGCCGGCTCGTTTTGCATAACACTGGAAGGGAGGGGGAAGGCGGAGGGGGGCGGGCGGTGGGAGGAGAGAGAGGGAAACTTTGCTTCTTGTTATAATCTGCCTGTCTTTGGGCGGCAGCAGCTGTCATGGGACCGGGTGGGCGGGGAGAGGCTTGCAAGCCGACTCCTGGCCGTGAGACGCGACTTGGAGGGGACGCAGCAAGCCGAGACGTTCAGCTCCGGGTGGCGACTCCCGGCTGGCGGCTGGGACGGCGCGGCGTGGCGGGGTGTCGCGGAGAAGAAGCCCGCCACGCGCCGGAGAGGGCCGGCCCTCGCTCGCTGCAGACATCCATGCGTCAGGGAGCCGCGGGGCCTCGTGGTCGGTGGCGGGCGTGCTGGGGTGGTTTCGGGGCGGGGGCCGAAGGGGTGGTGGCGTGTGATCGCGCATTCTTCGGGCCGGGGTGGGGGGGGTAGTGTGTGATGAGCGGTCTGCGCGCGCGGGTGTGTGTGTTTGTGTGCACACGCCGCGCGCGCCAGGCGCGTACCTTTACCTCTGACGAAACTGCAGTGGAGCTCCCGCGGCGGTCACCGGGCGCCGTCGCCGGCCCCGCGCCCACGTCTGCTCCGATGGCAGGTCCCAGCCCCAGCCCCAGCACCACCACCGCCCCGCTACCCCCTCCCCTCCCCGCTCCGCCCCGCCCCCCCCCCCCCCCCGGCCCCGGCCGGCAGCCTGGGGCTAGAGGGACTGGGTGCGGGTGGGACCGAGTTGCCCCTGGGAAAGTTCTGTCCTCAGCCCTCGCACTTGTCTGGGCGGTGCCTCCGAACCTCTCGACTGAGACTTGGGTGAAGGAGGCCTGAAACAGCCGGAGACTCGTTCGGGGACCCCTAGCAAGAACTGTCCGTTCTGGACCCTGGTTTTAACTCCATCTTTGGTGTTCTTTGGCTCACCAATAATTAATTGTCCTTTTAGCCGCCCAGCGGGCTTACCCTGCAGAGAGATTTCACCCAAGGAAACTAGAAACTTGGGTAATCAGGTGTCAGCAGAAGCAGTGCAGTGAAAGTTAATCTGGGACGTTTGCTTTTTTTATTTAACCACGTGACAGGCTGAGGCTGCTCCGGTGATCTTTGCCGGCCCAACTTGGGAGATGTAATTGATAGGGGAGCTTTGCAGCCACCCCTAGAAGGTTCATAGAGCCCAGCCGGAAGAGGACCTGGGCGGGCCATCGCGTTTCTCCTCATTTTACAGTTGGGGATAGAGGCTGCGAGGGGTGAGCGGCTTGTACAGGACCACGCAGCCAGCGGGTGACAGAGCCACCCAGGGCTCCTGACTCCAGGTCCTGTGTGTTACCTCGAAATAGCACTGGACTTGGAGTCAGAAGGCCTGAGTGGAGTCGCCTTCCCCACTCTCTGGCTGGGTGACCCCAGAGCAAGCCATTTTAACTCTCCGAGCCTCCTTTCCTCCATCTGTCAAATGGGGCTGGTGTTGCCGGCAAGAGAAGAGGAGGTCGAGGTGGTGGGGGTGAGCACTGCTTGCATGTGAGATGTCTGGTTGTTCCTGTGATTCCCTCTGCTCCTCCAGCCCCTCCCTGACCCTCCCCTTCATCTCCCCCTAAGGAAGGGGTGGGGAAAGTGAATAAAAAGGTAATTTATTGTCTTTATCTGAAAGACTTGTCTTTGGTGGCTAATCCAGAGTCAGATAGAGGGAGGACTTCTGTTTAGGAGACTTAACTTTTACTCATTCAGGCCAAAGTTCAGAAATTCTGCGGACCAAGGATTGTGAAAGTTTCTTGGGCAGGTTTGGGGCATGTATCCCAGAGGACTTTGGGTTGGCTTCACCTTTGCCCAGCCTGTGCCCCTTGCCTCCACTGCCCTCACCCACCATTCCTGCATGGCCTTCTCCAGCAGGCCTTCCTTTCCCGGCTTGCCCTGCTTTCTGACTCTTCTGGTTTTCTTAGCCTGTGTTATACAATCAGGCACTTTTTGTGTGTGAGTCCTGTGGCCCAGTAGGATTCTGGAACTAGAGTTTTGCCTTTGATCTCTTTGTGTCCCCATGGCACCTGCCACCATGCGAGTTCCTTTGCTCAGTCCTTGGCATGTGAATTTCAGACAGGGGAAGCTCCCAGGCTGGCCCCTGAGACAGCTGGGCAGTGAGTATGGGTAGAGAGGAATGCAGAAAGCTACAGCTGTGGGGCCATGACTTTGGCCCCAAAGGCCACACAGTAAGCCCACACTAAATACGGGTTATCTGAAGTCACTTCGGACATCAATCATAGATGCCCCAAATGTCAGAGTTGGCAGCAACTTTATAAATCATGTGGTCCAATCTCTAATCATTGAAAAATATTTAATAGTAGAATTGTTAGAAAATACTGGCAAGCATAAAGAAAAATTGAAAATATGTAATCTTACCCAAAGGTAACCACTATTCATTTTTATATATATTTCCAGACTTTTTTTTTAATATCGGTTGCACAAAAATGGAGTCTTTCATCATATATTCATTGTAACTTGGAATCGTATTGTTGTAATTTGCTTTTTTTCTCCTCCAAATATGCTGTGATTGTCTTTCCACATCAATAAATATTCTACTTCATGTCTTAATATCTGAATGGTTATATAGTGTTTTATTGAGGGTTGAACCACAATGTATTTGGTCAGCCCTTTGTTGTTAGTCATTTAATTTGTTTATAATTTTTGTTGTTGTTCTTGTAAGCCACGCTGAAATGAATGTCTCTGCATGTCTTCTTTCCTTCATTTAAATTCCTAGAAGTGAAATTACTCTGTCAAAGGAAATATGCAGGCGTTTGGTAAACACATTTCTGGATTGCCTTCTAGAAGGATTGTGCTAATTTACACACTTACCAGCATTGTGTGGGAATGCCTGGTTCCCCATAGCCAAATAACTCTTGGTATTTTAATTGTTTCTCATTTTTACCAGTTTGTTCATCAATAAATTCTTTCACCCTTTTGTTTTAATGTGCATTTCTTTGACCACTTGTGATGCCTCCCCCCACCCCTGCCCCATAATTATGGGCCATTTTTGGTTCTGTTCTGTGAAATGTCGTGTTTGTGAATTTGGCCCATTTCTCAATTGGTGTCCTGTCCCCCCATTTTTCTAAAACTGGATCTGAGTACTCAGAAGGGGCCCCATCACCCAGAGAATGGGGCACTTGGCTTGAACATCTAGTCTTCAGTTCCTGGGTCTGCAATATGGCTGCTCCCCCAGCCCCTGAAGCCAGGACTCACTTCTTTTCCAAGCCAAAGTGACAGGCCTCTAGAGGGGCAGGTTGAAGTGCAGCCTTGGCTGGGTGCCTTTGCCCACCCTTCACTTGTGTGAGAACAGGGGGAGTAACTTCTTCACCTGAAGTTGCTGGCTTCGTTCACCACAGGCGGGAGCTCTGCTTTCACTGGGGCTCCCTGGCTGGTACGAATGATCAGGATGCTTATGGAACTGGGAGAAGCAATGGCCCGGCAATGGGGCCCTAGGGGCTCATATTTCCCCTTCACCTTGGGGCTCTCCTCTCCCCAGCTGGTGCAGGCCAGCCAGAAGCTCCACCATTGCCAGGGGATGAGTCACCCTTTTCCCTCTCTCTCTGGAATAATAGAAGGAATACTGGTTTGAGTCAGAAGCAGCCTTGCAAATGGGGGCTTGGGCTTAGAAGTGAGGTCATAACATGAGCATTGCAGTGTTAACAGCTAGCTCCTCCTGCATCGTCCACAACATTTATTAGAGCATCCTTTCGATGCTGTGCACACTGCCAAGCCTTCTTTTTGCATTGTTGCATTTTATCTTTGTAAAGATTCTACAAAGTGTAGGTGTCAGTGTTATTACCATTTTACAGAGGAGGGTTTTACAGTT